CAAAACATGTTGTTAATATCAAGATAGGTTTGGGTGGATTGTTCACAGTTTGAAGATAATTTACACCACGAACTGGTTTTGTTGAAATAACTATTTAAATCTACTCAGTGATTAACATCTATATCGTCTTAGGATGAGCTCAAATTATGAAAGTTTTAGGTTTGGATCTTTGGTGAGGTCGGTAATGAACACAAAAATCAGGAGTTCTGAAAGTCGAAAAACATGATAACCTGTTTAACCATTCACATTGAAATGTTGGTATAGAGGTTGTGGCACCTAACTTTCAGCCTCTCAGTTATACATAGATTTAAACTTCTGTACACCGACTTCATTGATGTTATTAACCACGATCGAGAAAAAATATGACATTTCAAGTCAAATTCTTGAAACTTTTGTTTGAGTACTGAAATGTATTTCATATTTTAATCAAACCAAATAACTTTAACTAATCTTATATTTCATTAGAATTATGAACCGATTAATGTTAGACCACTATTGAGAACCTGGAAGCACTGAACAGCCGTTCCATCCTAGTGCGAGACTCGAACTCAGGACCTTTGGTCTCACGCGGATGTTTAACCTCTAGACCACTGGGTCAGCATCCAATGATGTTAATGTCTAACTTTAACCAATTCACGATATTGAGCAGCCATCTTCCACTGTCTTCGGTGGGTAACTACTTCACACCTGACACTGTTGGACTCCAGTGGTTACGGCTTCTCACTAGAACTCCGAGAGTTACCTCTCGAAGCTAGTCACTAATGAGCATATGGTAATCTCCAGTTTGAGTTTATAGAGATTGTTGATCGTGAATACACACTGTTGAGGAGTCCCATACTAGGAAAAAAACGGTCGTCCGGTTCTTCCAGGTTTTCAAGTGTAGTCTAACAATAATCAATCCATGATTGCAATGAAATTCATCAATATTTACAATTCCAAAATGATAATCTTATATTGTTACTCAACACAAAGTTAAGAATGTGTTATAACTGAAAAATATTTATTTCATGTATTGTCAACGGTTGAATATACATAAATGAATGGCAATTATTTTAAATGTTATATAATTACAAAACAAGGTTGACCTAGATGAAAACTCTAAAGAAAATCTTTTAATTGTTTTTCACACTGGTTGGTAAATTAAATAGAACACAGAATTGCAGAGTTACTCGGTAAAATAGAAAAACCATATAGTAAATCATTAATTTGCAAAATATTATTCCAACATATCAAACCAGACTGTTGCTGTTGTTATCATCAATCCATTGTCTCACATTTTATTGTTCATGCGTTTTCTTACAAATTGCATTTTGTTCCCTCTCTTTCTTTCTTGATCTTCCCCCATCTTTTGCTGCCAGACATTACGTTCTTTAACTCGCATCGTATACTACTTATATCAATATAAGTAGCACACGCCACAGTAGGAACCAACAAAAGTTTAGTGAAATTTCTCATGTAAATGAGCATTATGTGAAGATTAATTAAGTTACATAGTAGTGTTATGGTTGACTGTGTTAACCCTTTGTAAATAAATGAATTACAATGACTTTGTATGTGCAATCTACTCATTTTGTCAAAATCTACCATAAATTCTTCACTAGTTATAAAATTAACTATAGTGAAATGTGAATTTTATTTATGTAAATCAGTCTATTTAAGGTAACAACTATCTGACCATAGATAATATTATGTCAAAAATCCATGCAACTGTCAATTGTTTTTATTAAAGACTGATTTGGTTCATTCATTAAATCCAGTACCTAAATGGTAGTAATAGTAGTTCGTCAGGTAGGTTTATGGTGTCTGATTATTCACTCTTGTGTTTCAGGTTCAGTGAGAATTTCATCTGATTAATGATTCATTGGTCTAACTGCTTAACAACAATAAACTATATGTGAATGAATCTAGTGTGTTAACAGAACACGATTAGCTTGATCTTGTGAACAAACAACAGAAAGTCTTCAAGTTTGATGCGAATCACATTTTGTGAGCGTAGATGTTATTCTGTGATTATAGCAACTCTTCTATAATCAAATTCAATGATGGTTAATTTTTGTTAAACCCTTTTATTAATTTACTTAATAGAGGTTATTCGAACAGTAACAATTCGCATATTTCTGTATACTATTATGATCACTATCTTGTCTGTATATATGTTTACGCTTGATCACATGTGACAACATACTCACATATCTCTAGCTAAAATGTTAATATCTTAAATATCGCTCGATATGTCATTCTCTTCCCAATGTATATATGTACTCAAATCCTATGATTAGACTTTGCCTTACCGAGCCGCTCCTTGATTCGATTTGACTAAAAATTTGCCTCTGTATTCGCTCGTCCCCACATATTAGTCTTTCTGCTTCAAATACACTCGATGTCCTTCTAGCTTTGCTATCCGTGAAATCCGTTAATAAACTGTAGTCGCCGCCTCTTATTGCCTTCTGAATTCAAACACCGCTGAGATTTATATAATAATGGTTATCAAGGTGATTGGTGAACGAAGCTAAGCCAATATATGTTAAGTAGGATTTATGTAAAAATTGCACATGTTTTGAATAAATGTTACATCAACGTGCATATTTTTACTAGGGTTTATGAAAACAAACCACCAGTTGGGATAATCAAGGAACTTTCATCAGTCAAATGAAAACTGAAAATTGAGAGTGGTTCTTTATTCTAGTATAGGATTCCCCAACAATGTGTGCCCTTATATATGATCATGTACCACAAAGAACAGATGAATTTCATGGTATATTTAAAATTGAACAAGTATTAGAGTATGTATAAATGACCTCAAGTTGTTGTTTACATCACAAAGTCTAAAGGTATTATGTTTGATTAAATGTATTGCCATGGGTAGACAGTATTCATCTATCTCATACCAGGACCAGTCATTCAGCCAGTCGTAAGCAGCGTAGAACGTAACACGTACATACATCAGTTCGAGTTGCCATATCACACTAGGCTTGAGAGATACAATTATCAGAACAAGTTTTAGAGTGGTAGAGGTAGTAATAGAATCTGTATTAGTAGACAAAAATAGATAAATAAATTTGACTTAATATGGAAAAATGAATTTGTGAAATAGTAAAGTATGAGACAATTTAAAACCCAATATCTATAGAAAGATAGATAATGAATGTATCTAAACCATTTTAACCGATTCTGAACCATGTAGCTCACAGTGTCCAACCTCTGATTACAATAATCGAGAGGACCCTAACTAGGTCAAACATCTATTTCACAACTCATAGTTTTCAATGAATTTTCAACTGATCCCTAGTCATGACGGAAAGTTATTTTACTACTGAACAAAAGTTTTAGAAAATAATGCATCCTTGTACAAACTGATTTTTAATGATTAATACTATTATGTTTGGGTTGTCAACAATTAATAAGAAACCATGAAATATAATGATGTTAATCTTGAATAAACAACTAATAAAATGAAAACAGAATTATTTGGCGGGACTATAATTTATGGACGAATAAATCAGATTTAGGCTAACAGGTCTTGGATTTGGATGCGAAATTCATTAATCCATTTGGTTAAAGAGAATTTTGACATTTTAACTGATATAAGTTCGTGATGAAAACTCTAACCCTTACGTTCGACTATAAATCATATTCCTTATTCTTCATATAAGTTCATAACTCTCATTTAGCCCTAGTAAGTAGGTGGATGGCGTGGACAGAACAACACTATCGAAGCTTCTTCGACACTACGGCCTACGTCAGAAGATAGTCAACATCATACAGAATTCCTGTGATGGATTAAACTACAAAATCATACATGGAGGACAGTTGAAAAACTTGTTCGAAGTGAAGACCGGTGTCAGGCAAGGTTGCTTACTCTCACCCTTTCTCTTTCTCCTGGTGATCGACTGGATCATGAAGACCTCAACATCTGAAGGGAAACACAGGATACAATGGACATCTAGGATGCAGTTGGATGATCTAGACTTCGCAGATGATCTGGCTCTCCTATCGTACACGCAACAACAGATGCAGGAAAAGACGAACAGTGTAGCAGCAGCCTCAGCAGCAATAGGTCTCAATATACACAAAGAGAAAAGCAGGATTCTCCGATACAACACAACATGCACCAATCCAATCACAATTGACGGAGAAGATTTGGAAGATGGAAAAGCCTTTACATATTTGGGCAACATCATTGATGAACAGGGTGGATCTGATGCAGATGTGAAGGCGCGGATCGGCAAAGCAACAGAAGCATATTTACAACTGAACAACATCTGGAACTTCAAACAACTGTCTATCAAACAACACCAAAGTCAGGATTTTCAATACAAATGTCAAGACAGTTCTACTGTCTACTGGGGCCGAAACCTGGAGAACTACGAAAGCCATCATCCAGAAGATACAGGTGTTTGTTAACAGTTGTCTACGCAAAATACTTCGAATCCGTTAGCCAGACACTATCAGCAACAGCCGGTTGCGGGAGAGGACAAACCAGATCCGAGCGGAGGAAGAAAGTAGGAAGAAGCGCTGGGAGTGGATAGGACACACATTGAGGAAAGCACCGAACTGTGTCACAAGACAAGCCCTCACATGGAATTGTGAAGGCCAAAGGAGGAGAGGAAGACCAAATAACACATTGAGCCGAGAAATGGAGACAGACATGAGAAAAATGAACCAAAGTAGGATAGAACTAGAAAAGAAGGCTCAGGACAGAGTGGGTTGGAGAATGCTGATCGGCGGCCTATGCTCCATTGGGAGTAACGGGCGTAAGTAAATAAGTAAGTAGATGGACATTCTCAAGGCCACTTTAGCGTCGCTCAAAGGTCGTCCATAAATTATAGTTTCACCAATTATTTATAAACAATATATATCAATATTATAGTTATGTAACTTTTAAAACAAAATTAACTAACTATCTAACTAAAGATCACATTTAAAATAAGACTTAATCGTTCAATATTAAGAATGAACATCGAACTTTATTTAATAATTCCTTTTCTTCATTTCCTTAGATAATTCAAATCATAATGATTCTATAATACTTCCATGTTTATTATGTAAAGCTATTCAACAATCTCCATATCAATTATTAAATCATTTAGAAAATATTCATAAAATCAATTCAAATCAATTTACAATTGAACATAGAAATCATGAAAATATTCCAGGAACAATATTTAACATTGAACGACAACAACAACAACAGCAAATTGATTCATCATTAAAACAATCTAATGTAAATCATAAATTAATTCATACTGATTTGTATAAATATTCTAAAAATTTTACAAATTATTTCAATCTATTTAATTTTATATATAAAAATTTATTTTATTCTTATCATAAGAAGTTTGATGAAATGGAAACAATCACATCCAATTATTTCATATCACCTAAATATATAAACAATCAATTAGTTCATGATGGAAAGGATCAGTTAGTACAAGTTGAATCATTTTCTAATGTTGATCTTAATCAATTAAGTATATTGGATGAAAATAATCATCAGAATAATTCAATAAATGAAAGTGTTATATCCTATGAATTATCTTTAGATCAAAATTCATTTTATTGTTTAAATAGAGATAAAAAGTCTACGAAACAATACAATATAACTTATAATTCTAAAGATATTTCAAAGAAAACTTCTTATCTGAATCGACATTTTATTAATCCAATTAACCATACTAATAAAAATAATAATACTGAGATGAAAAAACAATCATCCAAATTAATAGCTCATTTAAGACGTGATATATGTGAATATTGTGGTAAAATATTTCGAAATTGCAGTAATTTAACTGTACATCGACGTATACATACAGGTGAAAAACCATATCATTGTAATATATGCACATATTCATGCGCTCAATCATCAAAATTGACAAGGCATATGAAAATACACAATAAACAACAAAAAATTTGCAAATTAAAAACATCTAATTCCGAATATTCAGTGAAACATTTAAATAAAACAAATAATAATTGTAAACAATGTAATAAAAGTTTAACATCTCATAAATATGAACGTCATTTAGAAGCATGTAAATATGTTATTTGATTACTGATGAAAACATGAGTATACTATTTCATAGATAAGAAACAAGTATAAAAAATTCTCCATAAGTAATCTGAAGATATCACTTGTACTAGAGGAAGAGTCGTTAAGTTCTTATTTGAGCGCCAATGTACTATATACGTTGTTGTATTCATTAAAACAAGGATTGATCATTTTTCTTATAAACTCAACTATTTTTGTTTAATTGTTTTACTACTTATTTCGAAATGAGTAGGCAAAACAATATATATATTTGTAATTTATATATAGATTTTAGTGATCAGCATTTACAGAATGTTGTGATTTATTTTATTTTAAGATAGAAAATTGAAATTAGTTACTGTTTAGTATCACACTTTATAGGGGCATATTAATCTAATCTCAAATGTACCATGATTTATGAATATTCATTTTTGAGAAGTTCTGAACTAAGGGGAATTAATTATCTACGGTTGTCAATGGTTTTATTGTTGGTAGTTTACTATGATGAGAAATGAAAAGTTTAAATTTGTAATCATTAGATCGATTACTTGGTAAGTTTTATCAACTATCTCTTTATCTTTCGAGGTTTTCGCACTGCTAATTGTGATTCTGGCAAGAATGTGTGGTATTTCCATACAGAATCGAACACTTGGAACCATATAAAATGGATGTGTGTGTTAGAGTAAGGTTATTTCTATTAGTGTATACAGATTTATTGTATAGAGGCTGATATGTAAGCTATAACCATGCCCCAACAGTATTTATTGATTACTGTTCAATAGTTAAGCAGTAAAATTCAATAATTGTATTTTGTATCGCCAATTTTACCCTTGATCTCATTCAATATGCTTATCGTATTGAGAATAAAGCATCGTTCGTGTTATAGACATGACTTATATAATTTAGTCGGTAAAATGGTAAGAACGGAAAATCACTGTCTCTAACAAACAACAGTATCCAGTAAAAAGGTATCAGTTGTGAAAAAGACAAAAGAAGACGTGATGATAAAAATCAATAAGCGCTTCATTAGCTAGATTAAAGTAAACAACCTCCAAAAGTTAAATCCACTTTAATAAAGATAAACAAGTACATAAAATATTTAATATAATTATTCAATGATATTAAATAGAATTAATTTCAATTATCTTTCTAGAGTTATTCAGAAACTCAAATAACTAAATATTTTGATTACAAACCCCACAGTACTAACAATATATTAACTATGGCTAACTCTAAGAGATGGTTACGGGAGTCCGGTTGAAAAGTCATGATAAGTAAGATTCAATCATGCCGTGTATAAGGCAGATATAATCACGGGGAATGAAAGATGACAGTATAATATTGTGAATTTATTGAGATAAGAAATATGAAGCAGGAGGAGATAACACAGCAATCGAAAAGTATCTTGTCATCGTGAAGCCTGAAGATTCCAAGTACGATCCTTGGGTGGGATCATGAATATTTACTTCTAAGGAGTCATATATTAAGGTGAAATAACTATCTAATATTTCCTGGTTTTCAATAGTTATGAAATCAATGACAATCCTTGATGTAAAATTACACATTCAACAATTTCTACAAGCCCACTTTTTAAATGAGCTGTTGAAAATAGTATGAATCCTTTTCACTTAAAATTTACTTAAAATTAAGTTCAAAAGATAAGGTTTGCTTAAACTGACAAATCACGAATATTTAAGGATGGAATATTAATCGTTAACACTTGACGAGCTTATAAGTGTAATCTAACAAATTTATGCTTCAGTAAAGTAACAGAGTTCCAGGTGAAATGAAATTCTACATTGGATTAAAAAAAAGTTGGCAATAAAATACACTTATCACCAGTTATTACTGTTGGCTAAGGGATAGTGTTAATTTGAAGATATGTTATTTAAAATAATTATAAATTTCATGCCCATAGTTTATAGGTACGATAAGATTACAAGTTGAAATCATGAGCCAATTGAAGCTAGACCACCATGGAAAACCTGGAAGCACTGGACGGCCGTTTCGTCCTAGTATGGGCTCAGTGGTCTAATGGTTAAGTGCTCGCGCGCGAAGCCAGTAGGTCCTCGGTTCGAATCCCGCTGGGGGCGGGTTCGTGGATGCGCACTGCTGAGGAGTCCCATACTAGAACGAAACGGCCGTCCAGTGCTTCCAGGTTTTCCATGGTGGTCTAGCTTCAATTGGCTCATGATTTCAACTTGTGAAATTTCTAAAAAATCTCCACAAAACCCATTCTGATAACGATAAGATTAGTTACAATTAAATGGAAAATAATGAGTATAATGTTTTAAACGGGAATAATCCTTTAAGGGTATGAAATTTATTTTAATACGCTTTACACCCCCCCCAACTATTCATCTGTATCTTTCTCCTACCAATCAAAACCGTCATTTTAACCGGCCAATGAAATCCTCACTATCTGAGAGATAAAAGTCGTTGTCGTATGCCTGCTTATTCCAAATAGTAAAGTTGATATTATTTTCAAAGAGCTGTTTGTTGATAAATTATTTCAAATGGAAGCAGAACTTTTGAGACAACAAACATGTTTATGAGAATGTGACTTTTTGTCATTTCATAACACAAGATAGTCGTCGAAATTCCAATGATTTTTACATAAAATATGTATGCAGAACTACTGATAACTTATCAAGAGACATGAATGTTTGTTTTATAGTAAATTCTTTATAAAATGATGTAGACAGCCAGTTGGTAGTGGTTGTTAATTCTATATATTTTTGTTCGGCTGGTAAAAGCCTTTTCATCAGTATATTAGACGGTCAGTAGACACGTAGTCACGAAATGCTTTGTCTCACTTAGCAGAAAGACCTTCACTTTTTTTGTCTGACAGCCGATCAGAAGAATAAATAGAATATAATAATCAGTAGTTTGAAATAATAAATATATAGATTTTTGTTACATCCCAGTGAGTAGAAAATTGTATTTCCGACGTTTCGCTACTTCTTCAGAGCGAGTAAATAACCAAATTAAATTTCTTTGTACTATTTAACTTGTGTTAATTGGTTCATCCACATATTATGGTCTCGTCGAATCAAACTGTCAAATAAAATACGTTTCTTTTAAGTTATTATGCAGGAAAGTAAAGACAAGATTTGTAGAATAAAATAAATTCACTAAAGTTTTTTGAATTATACACCTTAACTGTATGCATATCAAAACAATTCAAGTAATTAATAGCGATAAAAATAGTTGATTTTAATAAGTATCTATCAGACAGCAGAATAATATTTTTTATGGAATAACCGAGCCTATGGAGGAACGGTGATTTACTTTACTTACTTACGCCTGTTACTCCCAATGGAGCATAGGTCGCCGACCAGCATTCTCCAACCCACTCTGTCCTGAGCCTTCTTTTCTAGTTCCATCCAATTCTTGTTCATTTTTCTCATGTCTGTCTCCATTTCTCGGCTCAATGTGTTATTCGGTCTTACTCTCCTCCTTTAGCCTTCACAATTCCATGTGAGGGCTTGTCTTGTGACACAGTTCGGTGCTTTCCTCAATGTGTGTCCTATCCACTCCCAGCGCTTCTTCCTACTTTCTTCCTCCGCTCGGATCTGGTTTGTCCTCTCCCGCAACCGGCTGTTGCTGATAGTGTCTGGCTAACGGATTCGAAGAATTTTGCGTAGACAATTGTTAACAAACACCTGTATTTTCTGGATGATGGCTTTCGTAGTTCTCCAGGTTTCCGCCCCAGTAGACAGTAGAACTGTCTTGACATTTGTATTGAAAATCCTGACTTTGGTGTTGTTTGATAGACAGTTGTTTGAAGTTCCAGATGTTGTTCAGTTGTAAATATGCTTCTGTTGCTTTGCCGATCCGCGCCTTCACATCTGCATCAGATCCACCCTGTTCATCAATGATGTTGCCCAAATATGTAAAGGCTTTTCCATCTTCCAAATCTTCTCCGTCAATTGTGATTGGATTGGTGCATTCTGTGTTGTATCGGAGAATCCTGCTTTTCTCTTTGTGTATATTGAGACCTACTGCTGCTGAGGTTGCTGCCACACTGTTCGTCTTTTCCTGCATTTGTTGCTGCGTTATGCGGTTTTGATGCTCCTCTTCACTTGTTTGTTTACTTCTGTGTATTCAGCTTGTGCCTTGGCTTTTTCTACTCTTATTCGGCTGGTATTGATCGCTGCCTTCTTGTTTCTTCTTTCTTGAATCTTATCCAGTGTATCAACAGTGATCCATTCCTTGTGGTAGTGCTTCTTGTGACCCAGGACCTCATGACATGTTGAAGTGATTGCCTCTTTGATCCCCTTCCAGTTGCTCTCCACAGTAGTTCCTTCTCCATTGAGTAGATCATGAAACGCCTGGAACTTGTTGCTGAGGACTATCTTGAATTTGTTGAGTTTGTTAGTATCCTGAAGAAAGGCCATATTGAACTTTTGTGATATTGTCCGCCTCATTGTTCAGTGCTTCTTGAGTTTCAATTTCATCTTGGCGACCAGCAAGTGATGATCTGATGCTATATCAGCTCCTCCCCTGGTTCTCACGTCCTCTATAGTCCTCCTGAACGTTTTGTTGATGCAGATGTGGTCGATTTGGTTTTGCGTAGTGTGGTCCGTTGAAGTCCATGTGGTTTTGTGTATGCGTTTATGTGGGAATATGGTTCCGCCTATGACCAGTTTATTGAAGGCACATAGGTTTGCAAATCTCTCACCATTTTCGTTCCTTTCTCCCAGTCCATGTCGTCCCATGATGTCTTCATATCCAGTGTTGTCCGTTCCAACCTTGCCATTGAAATCTCCCATCGGAATGGTCAGGTGCTTTGTTGGGCACTTATCGATGATTGACTGCAGCCTATTGTAGAACTGATCTTTAGCGTCTTCATTGTAGTCGTTGGTAGGCGCATATCATTGGATGATGTTCATTGAAATGCCCTCTAACGGTGATTTGGGAAAAGTTAAAACTATTCTGTAGATAAATATTATGGGTAATTATCAAATATCTAGTTTACGGTATTTTTATCTCTTAATTATGAGTCGAAGTATATTTTAAAGTTCTGGGGATTTCAGTAATTAATTAATTTCAGAGTGGGGTTTGTAGTAATTTTAACATAAAATTGATCTATTCTGGCCATTATGTAAAGTTATGATTTTTCTTAGAATGACTAATTAAGTGTAGAGTATTCTCTTCATCCCTTATAACTGTTAATTTGATCGACTCATTAATTCAATTATGAAAATACCACAATCTCCACAAATCTCCATACTAGTAATAATCATCATGTGCTCGCTAGTGACTGATTTCGAGATGAATTCCCTGGAGTTCTAGTGAGAAGCCATGACCAGTGGAGTTCAATCTGTGTCGGGTAGAGACAGGCATCTACCTCAAACAATGGATGAATGGTTGCACAGCCATTCATGGATCGATGGGAGTTAGATATTAACACCGTT